TCAAGAATAAGATTCATTCTTTATATATATATATATATATATATATATATATATAATTTTTTTTTCACGTTACGGAGTTTACATTCTCCGATTGAAATTCGTGATATCTGAAAACAGCGCGACTAACATCGCGCCGCTCCCTTCTTTCTTTCTTTCTTTCTTTCTTTCTTTCTCAGTTCCGCTCAAACTCTTGTTTAAACTTTTGTTGCCTTTTCTCTCCCAGAAAACATCTCATTCATAATTCATAACGTTTCGCGGACCCCGCATCAGTCGAAATAAACTCGTTTGCCATTTCTCGTCGTACGGAGAGGGGGGAGGGGGGGCACAATTTGCCGTAAGCGCGCGCGCGCGCGCGCGAAAGACCGAAGACCGCCTGCAAAATCGCAAAAAGATCATCAAGCAGATCAAGAGATATATTAACGATGGCCGGTTCTCAGTTCGTCTTCTTTCTCTCTCTCTCTCCGCTAAGCGCGATTTTGGTTAATAAAATTCACGACGTATCGGGGAACAATGGGGAACGTTCTTCCGCGCGAAAATAGACATACCGACGACCCTCTTTGAAGACTCGGACTCTTCGTGGATTTCTTTCTCTCCCTCTCGCGTGCGCGCGCGCGACAAGTTAGCTTCTTCTAGTTCCGACAACGACCTAACTAAAGGTAGGTAGAGGCAAATAGAAGGAGGGTACCACCACACCACACACACGGGATGGCGGGTTTGATATAATGCGCGGACGGATCGCACAAAATGTGGGATCCGGTTCGCCGGATCAAACGTACGATTAACGTACGGATTAGGATTAAACCTGGCGCGGATCTCTCGCTGCGCACGAATGGACCCGCACGGGGGACGTGCCCCATTGCGGAAGGGAGGAGGAAGAGGAGGAGGAAAGGTTCAGAGGGGGGGGGTCGAGATAGAAACGATGAAGAGACGTGGGGTACCTCACAATGCGACCTCATATGGCATATAACGCACCCCATCGTGGAGAGAAAGAGAGAGAGAGAGAGAGGAGAGGGAAAAATCTTTTCACGCTCGATTCTCCGAACTATATGCGCGCAAGCCCCCCTCGACATACTTTTCGGCCGACGTAAGGACGAAGGACGACAGTCAATGCACATTACAACGGTTTTATGTTATTAATACGGACGCATTTGGCCGGGATTTGAATAATTGAACAAATCCGCGTGGATTCGCAGCATAGATAGATAGATAGGTAAACGTGTATGATTCTCCCGCGGGGGGAAGGAGAGAGAGTGAGATACATACCTCTCTCTCCCTCTTTTTCTCTCTCTCTCTCTCTCTCCCTCTCTGCGGCGCGCAACCGCCATAATCCAGATCTACCAACGCCTGAGCTTCCGCGTGGGGCTCATCGCGTTCGGATTGGCGTTCGCGCTCGTTGTTTGATCCCGTAACGTCGGCAAATCGATTCGAGATTATCATTTAAGATTACGCGTTGACACGCGACGTTTATTTCGTTTGCGAGAACGACGAGGCAAAATTTATATATATACCGGAAGTAATGATAAAAGAATTACGAAAATGATTCTATACGTATATAGAAGCGAATGATTTTTGAATTCGGCTTTGAAGAACCGGTATTTGTCGAAATTTCTTGTTTTCACATTTTGTAAAAATTAAATAACCGATTAAGTAACGATTCGAAACACAAGTATATTAGAATAAAAAATAAGATATTCTCTCTAATATTCTTATCTGAATTCAAATCAACAATTGAAAAGCTTATTTTGAAAAATGTGATCTCATTTGTACACGCATAATTTTATCTATATCAAATTTTCGTATTATATCAAACGCACTCGAAACATTGTTTTCATTGTTTAAAGTGTGATGATTGAAGATCGTTTGTAAAAATAAGCTTTTTGATTTGACCCGTGCGTTCAGACGGCGATGACGAGAAGTTCGGTAACCTTCGTAATATGCATTGACAAATATGTTGTTCGCTTCCGCGGGTTTTTTTTCTTCCTTTTTCTCGCTCTCTCGCTCTCTCTCTCTCTCTCTCTCTCTCTCTCTTTCGGTGAGTTATTTCGCCACCCTCTCTCGACAAGCGCGCGTTGCGTTGCCTCGCGTGTCTGTTGCCGCGGCACGTCATCCGAAAGGGGTGCGTGCTCCCACCCCTGAGCGTCGCGACGCGATTGCACACCCTCCGCGCGCGCGGGAGTCCTCGTTGTCGTCGTCGTCGTCGTTAGTCCTCACCCTCGGCCTCACCCTCTCTCTCTCTCTCTCTCTCTCTCTCTCTCTCTCGGCGCCCTCTTTCTGGCGTTCGCGTTTCATAACGCGCGCTCGCATGGAAGGGGAGGATAGCGAGAGGCGAGCGCGAGCGGAGTGGTGGAAAAGTGGACGGAGCCAGATAGAACCACGCCCTGATCGCGGACAACGCACGCCAACCGACGTGGCACCCGAGGGGTGTCTCTCTGTCCGCCACCGAGGAGCGGCTGGCGCGGCTCCGGGCCACGGGGGTGGCTTTCGGGTTTGTTGCGCGACGACAGGACCGGGAAGGGCGCGCAGGAAAGGAAGCGCGCATCGCGCCGTCCACGCGGCACCGCGGTAGCCACACCACTATGGCCAGTCCTCGAATGTCCTTTATCGGGGAGATGTCACTGCTTCCTCGTGTCCGCGACGCGCGACGTTAGGCGCGGGATCGGTCACGCCTCGGCGTCCTATGACAGCTTAACTGGAAGTGGATCAAAGTGCGCGGTCGTCCGCGTAAAGAAAGAACGCTCGAGATCAGACACAGATTTGCGTTTTTTCTTTTTTCGCGGTTTTTTCTTCTCCTCCGCGAGACAAAACGACGAGCGCAAACCGCAAACCTGACGCCTGAAAACTTGATTTTGATTCAAATTTCATGGGATCGTGTAACAAAATTAAACACACAAATAAAAGTGCGAAGACAAGATTTTTCATTGGCTTGTCGTTTTGGCTTTGATCCGAATTAAAAAAAGGAGGACGATTTTCGATGACCACCACAAGCGGCGCGTGAATCGCCGCTTGAAAATTATTATCCATGTTCGCGTTAATTCTCTTGATGATTTTGTTGATCGCTGCGTCAGGCGTCCAAGATCCGTGGATCTTAGATTCGGTGCTATAAAATAGACAAGTTGCCAAAGAAAATAGATATAATATATATATAATATATATATATATATATAAAATATATACATGTATACCCGTACACACGCGACGTCGCGTACAATCTAATGCTAACTCTAAGATCGCGCGGACTCGTCCCGTCTTTCTGCAAAAACAAGAATAGCGATCGGGAAACGGTGACGATCCGACGAGAAAGTGCTGGTTACTCGACCCTGGAACTCAGAAAGCCGCGGGATCTGCGGGTCACGAAATCATCATCGACGACATCGTCCCAAGATGCGATCGTCGGAGACGTAACGTCGTCGTCGATTTTTCCGAAGCGTTCGGCGGATTATCGAATCTGGGACATCGGTGCGGGTTTTACGTCGTCAACAACAACACCCTCGCCTAAGCGCGTCGATACACCCGCTACATTGAGCAGTTCGTCAATACGTGCGCGTGAAATGGTAGAGAGCACTTATGCGAGCGACTCGCCAAGATCACGCTCGCCCATGACGGAACCGTCGAGTCCGCTTCACGATGGTCCCGGTATATCCGGTTACGGGCACAGCTATCTGTACAGCTACTCGCCGGACGGACAGAATCACGTATCGACGACGAGGCGCGGCAACGGGGAGACGATCGCAACGACGGACACGAACTGCGACCGGACGTACGCCCGAAGTCCGATCATCGGCACGGCGGACGAGACGCAGCCGCCGCGGACGCAGCGAAATCGGGAACCGGTCACGTCGCGACCGACCGGCGGCGGCGGCGGCGGCGGCGGCGGCGGCTCGTCCGCCTCGATGTCGTCCCCGACGTCTCTCTTCACCATCGACAGCATTCTGGCGCCTCGTCCGATCGGCAACGTCATCAGCCCGACGAGCACGACCACCGTCGCCGCGTCCGCGATTCAGACACCGGAAACGATCGAATCGATCGCCGGACGCACCGCGTCGGCGATTCATCCGCTTCAACAGCAGCTGCATCACTTGGCCTTCACCTCGGCGGATTTTCTCGGTGAGTGATTAACGCGTCCGCGAAGAAGGATTGAGTGACTCCGGGCTCCTCTTTTCGGAGCCCGAACCGAAGCGCGCACCCCGAAAAGGGCGCGAAAACGCTTAAAAGACGTTCTTAATCTTTCCCCCCTCTCTGAAAGAACCTCTTTTAAAACCTACTTTTACACGTAGTCTCTCGAGACTTTCCGCGCCCGTTTCTTTTTTTTTTTTTTTTTCGGGTTCTCGCATGCGTGAAATTGTGATTAACGTTACATTGTTGAAGAGTATTAGAGAGTATTAGAGTATTGTTAGAGAGAAGTATTATAGAGTTTTAGAGCATGTGTACGTGCATATAACTTAAGCGCTTTTCTCCTTTGAGATATTTTTCGAATCAAACGTTCAACGGAGATCAAAGAGAGATTTGACGCGTTGTGTTTTAAATTGTTTTCATTTAAACGAGACTAAATATAATCGAAAGCAAATTCTCTTACGTACATAATCGGTTAATTTTTTATTATCCGACGTTATAAAACGCCGACGTAAACGATGGCGCAAATTTCGCGCGGCTCACGTTCGAAAGAGAGACTAATATAGAAATAATACACGCTTGAGTAAATGAAGCGTCCGGAATATATCGCGCGCTCGGAGAATCGAGCGCAATTGTTCGGGGATTGAAACGCGGGAGAACGATTAATTTATTCTCGTGCCGTCAGGTACGTTAATTACGTTTATTCGATAATAGTTTTATTAAGCGTTTATTAAGGTAATTTTCATTCTTCGCAAATTTTTTCGTTAACAAAAATGTCAGTCATCAATTTGTGATTAATATATATGGAAAACTGAAAAAAAAGAAAGATTGTGAAGCGCGGGGGGAAAAGTAATATTCTTGTGCGCGCGCACATGCATTGAGAAATTCTTTCTCTGATAAAACGCGAAAAAAATATTGATTTGAATTTTTTTTTCTTTTTTCGTTTTTTTTTTTTTTTCTTTTTTTTTTTTTTATAGTCACCGAAGCGCTTGTTTTTGCTACACGAACTTTTGACGGATGTTACCGTAGCGAATGTATTTTGTTCGAGAGGAGAGAGAAGAGAGAGAGAGAGACGCGAGGGGTTAACAGTTTACATTGCAAAAATTCAAGACGAGCGTGAAATCCTTCGGAAAGCGAGAGCGAGAGAGAGACAGAGAGAGAAAAAGACTCGGTGCGAAACGCGCCAAAATTTCTTTTATGCCCGCAGGAGCTTTAGGTATTTTTCCCTCCCAAGGAAACCGCGCTCTTTCTGCATTGGGGATACGCGAGATGAAATCCGCAATCCGTTTCGATCATGCATGAACGATCTAGCTTCTTCTGCAATTCCGCTAGAAGACGAAGAACGTTGAAATGGAAGCGACGCGAGAAAGAGGAGAAACGGGGATGAAAGCGTACGGGAAAGGAGCCGAAGCTCTCTTTCTCTCTTTCTCTCTCTCTCTCTATCCGCGCGCGAGTAAAGGCAGAAATTTTTACCGTCGTCCCCACATTTTCATACGCAACGTCGCGTTTAAGCAGCTTTTTTCGAGATTTTAAAGTAAAACGTCCCCCGGGATAGGGGGAGGCGTACGCGCGCGCGCGCGCTCTCTCGGCGACCTTTTTATCATCCTAAACATCGCGAATGGGGTCGGCAAGGATTGCCGGCTCTTCTTACCGAGAGTCTCCTACGAGAGTCACGTTTCCGGTACATAGACTTTATCCGTGCGCGAATAGGTTTTTATTTTTTTTATTTTATTTTATTTTATTTTTATTTTTTGTCGTTTTTCAATCGATATCACGCACGTTCGAAGAAGAAGTCGGCGTCGCGAACATCAGCCCGGCCGCGATCAACCTTATTGTGAAGGATGTAATCCCTTTGTCATCCGCAACAATCAACGGCTCGAATTACCGCGATTGTTACAATTATCCTTTGTTAAAATCGATCCCGAGAGCGATCCCCTAATGTTATAATCGCGAGCGAGAATGGCCGTTTTAATCTTTAATGCGACGCGCGATACGTAATAGCGTTTGCGTCCGGCGAATAATCTTCATTATGTCACTTGCGCGTTGCGCGCGCGCGCGTCGTCTCGTGTAAAGAAATATATCAATTGAAACAATTAAATGGAACAGGGGTCAAGTTATCTAGTTTTTTGTGTTTGATTTTTTTCACTTGCAGCCGCGGCCTATCCCGGACTTTATCCCGGAGGATACGTGGCGGCGATGGCCGCCGCCGGTGTTTCCCTTCACGGACAACCGACCTTCTATCACGCCGGTCATCCTTATCAAATAAATCCAAACAATCCGGGAATAGGACCGATGGCGAAGAGAAAACGTCGTCACCGAACGATATTCACGGAGGAGCAATTGGAGCAGCTCGAGGCCACCTTCGACAAGACGCATTATCCCGACGTACTTCTGCGAGAACAGCTGGCCCTTCAGGTCGATCTCAAGGAGGAAAGGATCGAGGTCAGTCACACGTTTCTCTCGCGGTTTTTTTCGCTCGAGAAAACTCTGTCTTTTTTGTTTCACATTCGTTTTTTTTTTTGATGTTGCAACGTCGATTTCTGAGAAAACTTCAAGTTCGATTGTACGACGCGAGTAATTTTGTTGTCATTAATTATCACAACATTAGGGTACAAGCTGATAATTTGCTTTCATAAAAAAAAATCAAAACAACCGAAGCGAGAAATGGGGTTCCGGTTAAACATTTCGCGTTAAAGTTGCGCTTCTTCGGGTACGTTGGGAGCGACAGAATAATGGGGGGGGGGGGGAGGAGTGTGTGGGAAAGTGTGTGTTGACAGTTTTCCGGGACTTGTGCACCCCCCGCCTCTCGCTTTCCGAAAAAAAACAGAAGAAACGACTACCGTTTGCGCGACGCACAGAGCGAGCTTAAGCCGCCGATGACAAATTACTTTCTCGAGCCGTGAACGGAATATTGGGTTTCGGGATTGACAAACATTGACCGTCGTCCGGGGATGGGCCCGGGGTCCCGCACGCACAATTTGTAATGTCGGCAAACTAATACGCGCTTGCTCGCCGCCGCCGCGTCCGCCCGAGCTTCTGAGCGATGGGACGGAACGGGGTCTGGGGTGTTTGCCGTCCTAATGCATAAAAGCCCATAATATTTTAACGGGTTCATTAAAATTTACCGCGCCGGGGGTATTTATCGGGGCCTCGCGCTCGACTTGAGCCAACAAGTTGCATGCTAGATTAAAAGCTTTAGCGATAATGTGTTTACTTCAATTATACATACGGATATTCGCGCGCTCGTTATAACACACTCATAAGCGGTGTGTGTATGTACGTGTGTGCCGTGCGATTTATAATCTCCGAAGTGTGGTACCCCTTTCCCCGCCCCTCCCTTCAGCCCGTTCCCCACCCCCCACGCATGTGGTTTTTTCTCTCTCTCTCTCTCTCTTTCTCTCGCGCGGCCGACAAGAGAGAGAGAGAGAGAGAGAGCGCATTTTACGCGTCACGCTAATTTCGTATGAATTTACCTTTCAATTAATGCCGCGGCTCATTGTGTCGCTGATCGAGCGTTATTTTTTCAGCAATTAGCGGTTCTCGATTCGATGCGATGAGAGGGTACGTGTGCGCGCCACGTCGATATATAAATTTTTTTTTCTTCGCGATTTTTACATTCGAAAATCTCTCTTTTTTTTGGAGAGACCAAAGTTGTTTCGATTTGCATCTCTTTCCCGCCCCGCCCCCCTCCCCCCGTGTATCTTGTTCGAAACGACGTTTTCCTCGGAATGTTTTTCGAATGTAAGCGAACGTTCGCGAAAATCTAAATTTCCTGTTGATTTTTTTTATTGCGCGCAACAGCGTGTGTGTAAATGTCACGCGGTTTCGAACACGCGCGTCGAGATTAGCTCCGGATCTTAATATTCGGGTCCGTGAGCTACTCTTTTTTTTTTTAATAGCGTTGAAATCGTAAGCGCGTGGGATCCGAACGCGAGAGAGAGGTTCGGTATCGTGAAGCAAAGCCGCGAGCGCGCAGTCGATGGAAATCTGACGGAAACCGAGACGAGAAAAATGACGACGATTTTCTTCTTCGTCGAGAGCACCACAATCATCGGGATCCTGAGAATCATTGACACTCGCGCGCGACCACCCGCGTCGCGCGTCGGCTTCCGCCAAAGAGAAAAGTTTTTGCCCCCTCCGAGTCTCAAGAGTTGTTTAAAGACTGGAACAACATACATTTATATATATATATATATGTATACCTGCGTCCCCGTCCTACGACCCTCTCGGAGAGAGCCGAGAGAGTCTGTTTGCACAGAATTAGTAGAATAGCGACTCTTGGCGAAGGCGCAGAAGAGGACAAAGAAAAAAACTAAGAATCGGGTTGTGAAAGCGGGGTGGGGGGGGGGGCGGGAGAGGAGAACCCGAGGCGGGTTCTGTTTTGTGTACTTCCGAGATTCGTGTCGAGACTCGCGATGTTGAATCTGACGGTGGATATAGACACGGAGGAACAACAGAGTTTCTAGAGAAACTATCGGGGGTGCCACCGGGTTTTACTCCGGGAATCAAGTAGCGCAAGAGTAGACGGATAAGAGAAGAGAGCACGTTACATCTCCGTCGTCGTTTGGAATTATTGAAATTATCGTCGCGTAGTAAAAACGACGCGCACACACACACACACACACACACACACACACGTGATAGATTTAATTTCGCATCCCCGTGAAACGTAGAAAAATTTTACGGAGGGAGGGAGAGGCACCGAAATCTCGAGCGATACTATTGCAGTAGTAGTAGCTATTACGATGCAGCCAAACGAATGTACGAGCGAGTAAGGGTGAATATATATATTGATTGTCGGTGTTTTCATTCGAATTGATTCAGACAGGCGTGACGCGCGGACAAATGCGCGCTTCGAGTGCGGGGAGGGTAGGAATGCGTTTGATGTGTCTCTCGCACACATCTTTTCTTTTACTTCGTTAGGTAACGCACTTTAGGCGCGTCGATGGTTCTTCGTAATCACAAGTTTTTGCGAAACGTTTTTTAAACGCGTTTCTTAAAGCTCAGCGATCCAAATTGACTCCAAAAAAAAAAAAAAAAAAAAAAAAACAGTCTTTCGATTTACAAATTGACGCGACCGTAGCGTTGTCGCAAAACAAATGTCGAGAAAACGCTAATTGATCCACAAATTATTGTACAATTATGCACAAAAAAAAAAAAAAAAAAATAAATAAATAATCAGAAAAACAGATAACTCCAGATATTCAAATTATTTTAAAAGAAGTGGCAAGGCAGTTGTGTTCACAGTTGAGTGACAACTTTTGTCTGCGAACACCACCATGTAACAGCTCGAATTTGTATTTTGATCGACGTTTTTTTAAAACTGCATATTTCTAACAAATTTGATAAAGACCAAAAACTATGGTCGAAACGTTATTTTGCAAACGATTAAATAAAGAACATCATTATTACATTTACACACACCAACAACTGTGCTTTTGACTCCAACTGCCTTGCCACTTCTTTTAAAATAATTTAAATAAATAATAGTTCGCGTTTCTTCAAGCGCGAGAAAAAATTGTCTTTCAAATCGTTTTTTGTGTGATAACGTGAGGAAAACAAATTAATTGTGAAAACACGAAAAAAACGCGGTTCAGTCGAATCTAAATCGCATCGAACCTCGGTGCTCGGTTTTTAGGTGTGGTTCAAGAATCGTCGCGCCAAGTGGCGGAAGCAGAAGCGGGAAGAACAGGATCGTCTGCGGAAGCTGCAGCTGGAGCAGCGTCAGCGCAACGAGGACGGGGGCGCCGCGGCTACGGTGATGGTCGGCGATGGTCGTTTGAGCCTGAGCAGACAGCAGCAGCAGAAGATCGAGCAGGACACGGACAGCTCCGATCTCGAAGTGGCGTAGTGTGCGGCCGTCACTTCGCGACGAGACGAGGATCGTTGAAAAATCGGGAAGAAGAGAAGGTCACGACCGGTGAAAAAAAAAAAGAAAAAGAAAAAAAATCGTCCGCTGTGTTTTCGCGCTCTTAGCAACAATCCAAGGGGCGTTATAATGTACATACGTAACAACCGCACTGTAAATACTACTGTAAATATAAATAACGATGAATGTGTATAATACTGAAATAAATTATTGCATCGAAGCGAGACGTGGGTGTGTGTGCGTGTGGTATGTGCCGACGTGTTGATTTCCTTCGGTCTTTATATCCGGTGAAAAAAAAAAAAAAAAAGAAAAAAGAAAAAACAAAAAAAAAAGAGAACGAGACTCGAATTTTTCTCGTTTATGACACTTTTATTATATAGATTTCCATTTGCATGTAAGCGAGTATGCGCGAGAGGTGTCCATTTAGATCGCGAGAAATTTAACTACTATCGGTACGCTTATTGTTATTGCTAGCGCGCAACCTGGTTTTAAAATAATATTTTCTTATTGAAATCGCGCACCTCTCTCCTCTCTCTCTCTCTCTCACTCTCTCACTCCTCTCCCGCTGTGTTGTAGAAAATACATTCTGGTTTATATAAATGTTTACACACAGCTTCTATTCTTCCACGCATAAATATTAAAGCACGTCGATCGTTTAGGAATATCAAAACAGTCGCGCTGAAACTTTTTGCGGTCTTCCAAATGCTGAATTGGAACGTAACGGAAGAGTCAATCGAAACAAAAAAAAAAAAAAAAA